CTGGAGAGGACAATCCAGCTTCGTGTACAGCATCAAAACACTAGATGCTGTTCCAAGTCCTCCATACAGAGCACGTTACCATAGTCTCTCGAGACTGAAGGATGCCTATGAAGCTGTGGTGAGACAATCCATTCAAATATCCTTCTGGAATTCCTCATATACACAGTACTGTTAGCAACACAGGACAGTCTTACCTGGCAGCTATTGCTAAGCTCTCATTCTTAACCTGCTAGTCTGATAGCCAAATAGCATTTAGTATTAAATACACCTTTTATAAAGTGCATATTTGCATTTAATGCTCAGTTAATAAATAGCACAATAGTTTGGACAGCTGTCCTGTGCAAAATGTCAGCTCCTATGGAAAACAGGGGCTCTGTCTTTGTCTGCTGAAACTCCGTCTGGACAGATGCATGATCTGACTCTGTAGAAGGCAGCTGTCTGTGCTCCTAACCCTTCAACTGCCCTTTTATTTTATTTATTTAATTATTAAATTTATACCCCGCCCATCTAGACCGAAATCTACTCTGGGCAGCTAACAATAAAAACAGAATAAAAACAATATAATAAAGTTTTTAAAAAGCAATATAGTTGAAGATAGGGAAAAGAAAAAAAAAATCAAGTGATGACAGGAGGGAAAGCCTGCCTAAAGAACCAGGTCTTAAGTTTGCTCTTAAAAATACCCAGTGAGGGAGGTAGACAGATCACCGATTCCCAACTCGGAGAGCCTCCCCAGGAGGATACCGTGGTCGACGGTATCGAAGGCGGCTGAGATATCGAGGACGACCAACAAATACATTTTGCCCCTGTCAGCCTCCTTCAGCAGGTCATCAAACAGGGTGACCAATGCTGTTTCCGTACCGTGGCACAACCTGAAGCCCAACTGGAATGGATCCAGGGCATTGGTTTCATCCAAAAGAACCTGGAGCTGGTCAGCCACCACCTTCCTCTACCACTTTGCTGAGGAAAGAAACATTGGATGTTGGACATGAAATTCTATTTCAAAATACTGAAATACTGGACAACACCAGCAATCATTATGTTAGACTGCACAGGGAGGCCACTGAAATCCACAAACACCAGCAACAAAACTTGGCTCCCAGCACTGAAAAATACATAATGCAAAAGGTCATTCAACTCTACCCAGCCACAAGGATCGGTGATCACTACACACAAAAGACCCATCAATCACAGTGACAGATATCTCTCCTCCTTATCACAACAATACACCCACACGAAGACACAATGATCACCATAATCACCCATCTCCTGAAAAGGACAAAAGCTGATCTCACAGCCATAAATACTCAATTCCCAAACAAATTGCACCAGAGCACAGAGTGCTGTCCTCTGAAGATGCTGGCCACAGAGACTGGCGAAACGTCAGGAAGAACAACCTTCAGAACACGGCCAAAGAGCCCGAAAACCCCACAACAACCATTAGATCCTGGCCATGAAAGTCTTCGCGAATACAATCTGGGATTTGTTGGATACAGACCTGGCATTCAACAGCACCAGATTTAGAATGGAGGGACACCTGATCTGACTACCTCAAGACTGACAGTTGCTCACAGTGCCAGAACAGTGAACAGCCTTCAAACATCTGTTCACCATTCTTCTGAAATGAGTAGGAACTGTGCCATCACCATACCTCCCTCTACCTGTAATCACTTGGATGTTCAAAGGACCCCTGCTGAAGGGCCAAGCCTTCCACTCCATGTCAAACAAAACAAAAGAAAAAGAAAAGACTGAAAAATTTACCAAATTAATAAAAGTAAACAATACAGTGGTAACAAGGTTAACAAAATTAATCCAAACAGTGACATAAAAATACCCATTTAAATTAAACAATAATCAAATTAAGCAACTTAAAAGTTAAAACTTAAAAAGGAAAGGGAATTAAAAACAAGAAACCACCACCCAGACCTCCCCCCTGTCACAACCAGAAAAAGAAAAAGTAAATAGGGAAAAAATAAAGCAATGGAGAAAGAAAAAACAAAACACACACACAAAATTTCTCCCCTTGCGTAACCCACTCCCAAACCACACCTAGGTGTTAGGCATTGCAAGGTTTAGACCCAGTTGTAATTGTCATAGGTGCAGGAAACCTTGGAATAGGCCACGGCTGCTTATAATCGTTGTGGCCAAAAGCCAGGCCCATGTTGAGTTCACTCGACTTCCAGATCTTAAGGGCCACTGGGAAATGAACCCTCCCTTGAAGTCACTATTTGTACTGGAAGGAAAGCCTCCTTTTGATCTTACTGGGAACTCCCGGAACTGGTAGCATGAGGAGGTGCTGGACGCTTTAAAGATATATGTGAAATTCTAGTGAGACCGCAGATCCTGCAGCTAGAACTATATTTTCCGTAGTAAGGGAAATTAAATATAGAGCAGGCAACCCTTGTGCTAGTTGAAGAAGCTGTAGCCTGTGAATAAATGTAGGAGAGTTTCTGGCTATCATAACATGTTCTTCTCCTACATTTTTCCTGGCTAGTCTTACAGTCCTCTTCTAGTCCTCTTCTAATAACACCAACAAAATGTTTATTTTATATTCTTGGAATAAATCACTGACTGCTTGAGTTGATTGAAAGAGTCTAGGAGTTGTGCATTTAAAGTAACTCTTCCAGCTCTGATCACATCGAGATGGTTGTAATCACAGCAGGGGCAACATAGACCATAGAAGTGATGTACAAAGATAGGAGAACTTACTTTTTAGGAGTACATCTCTCAAAATACCTGAGCCAGTTGCCTTCCAGCCTGGGGCTGTGGTCCAAAAAAGACCACAACTCTGGTGATTGTGTATGTTGGCTGGATAGCTCAGTTATCTGGCTGCAGAGACAGAGTTCGATTCCCCACTGTGCCTCTTGCAAGTAGAGCCAGCCTGTATGGCAAGCTGCACAGTCCCAGGGCACCCTCAAAAGAAGGGAAGGGTAAAGCACTTTACATTCTGTATATAGAAGGTCTGCAGGGACTCTGTGAATTCACTCACCAAAGACACTGGCCGAGGTTGGAGGCCAGGAAAGTTTAGAAGATTGGGGCAGCTAAGTCCAAAAAGTTTGAGAAACTATACGTGAGAACAATGTGTTTTCTTCTGCAAATTTTAATTCTTTTCCACTACCATATATCTTTTGTTTTTTTAAAGTTAGTGGATGGAGAAGTCTTGCTACATATTATAGCATTTATTGTTTTTTTTATTTTTTAAGCAATTAAGGTTTTTTTAATTAAGATTTGTAATAATAGGGTAAAACCCCAAAGGTATTATAGTGCAGCCGTACTGTGTTCATAAAGACTTTTATAGTCAGCATAAAGATCTGTGTTTTAATCTGCTGTCTAAGCTCAATAGGTTTGAAGTGAAAATTGCTTCCCATTTTTCATTATAAAAAGTGACACTGTTACACTTCCTTTTATTACTGGTGTTTAACAGATGACTTCGTTTTAAGGCGACAATATCCCATTATAATATAGTGTCTTAATTATATCGTAAAAATGGATAAATCATAAAAAGTTAGATTGCTTGGCAAATTTCATCACTAGGGAAGAAAACCCACTCTTGTCTGCTTCTGAAGACAAGTTCATCTTTCTGGTGGCCAGTTAAACCACTCTTGGAATCTATAAACATCCTAGTTTCTCCCCATCCTGGTCTGATTTTTTTTACCTGTGTCAGTATGTGGCAAGGCTGTCATTGACATGATATTGCCACACAGTGAATGCTGTCGGCAAGGCTGTCATTGACATGATATTGCCATACAGTGAATGCTGTCTTGTTTGGATTTGAACACACCATTCCTAATTTAGATATTCAAGCTTTTCCCTCTGTGTGGCGTTTTGTGGATTTCAGCTTCTTCGAGAATCCCTGGCTATTGTCCATGCTCGATGGGACTTCCGAGGCTTGGAAATGCAAAATATTAGAACCATAAAAATAGATAAATGTCTCACCATTGAAGCTGATACATTTGGCCATGAGTGCTGCCTCAGTGGCAACCATGGCCAACTAGATTGACAGGTTCTTACTGAAACTGGCTGAAGATAGAAACCTGACATATGTCTAGCCATCTAGTCAGTGTTGTGTGTTTCTAGGATCCTACACAAATGGCTTTTCCATTACTTTGCTACCTGATACTGTTGAATTGAGATGAACAGAGATATCAGGATGTAAACTTGAAATGTTATGCATGCAAAGCCACGTGATTCGCTATGGTGCTGTGGTGCCCTGTTCCTCTTTAGATGAAACCCAGCAACAGTGTTTGCTCAGTTCAGGGTTTGCTGGTCAACTCAGTTCCCAGTGGAGAAGAGATCAATCCAAAGGGAAGGTCAAGGACACAGTGGAAGACAAAGTCAAATCCTACCAATCATCAAGTCAGTGCAGAGCAGATAGTTCAAAAATAAACCAGAAGAGCAGAATGATAAAAGGAGAATCCGATAACAAATCAGTAAACAGTTCAAGGTCATACATGGCAGAGTAGTCACAAAAAATTATGGAATACAAGGTCTGCCCAGGAAGGTCTAAGTAGAGGAAATTTCCAACCGCTCTTCCAGCCTATAGGCATCTTGGCATATGGTGTTCCCTGGAAGAAAAACTTTTTCCCAAGGAGTCCCCTTATACAGTATAAGGAGTCATCACCTTTCAGTCTTTTTCTCTTAGGTTCCTGATTACCCTGGTTGCCCTCCTCTGAACTTTTTCCAGTTTGTCTTCATCCTTCTCAAAGTGAGGTGATCAGAACTGGACACAGTACTCAGGATGAAGTGTAACCAGTGCCAAACAGAGAGGAAGTAATATGTTGTGTGATTTGGAGATTATACTTCTGTTAATGCAGCCTCTTTTTTGCAGCATCATCACACTTTTGGCTCATATTCAGTTTGTGATCAACAAAAATTGCAAGATCCTTCTCACATAAGACGTGGCAGAGTATTTTTCCATTTTTTCAGCTTTGTTTCAACTGCCAAATGTTCTTCTTCTTGAAAAGTAATGGCTCTGATGGATAATTAATGTTTTTGTTGTTCAGCCACATAAACAGAAGGACACAATTTGAAAACCCAGTTTTAGAAGCAAAAAGGAAGCTACAGCAGCGTACCATGCCCAACGCAGAACTTGGGACCAAGCCTATGCCGGCTCAAGGTTTCCGAGGTACAGTATCATGTCAGTGTGCCCTATTTTATAAATAAAACCATTCCCTTAAGTTTCCATTATTTTATAACATTTAAAATATGCAGAGTTTTAAAAACTACACCATGTTTTATTATAAAAACCTGATGAAAACAAAAAGGGACTTGGGCTCAATTTACAATCTTAGTTTCCAGAATAACAGATTTAGCAAAAAATATGTTAAAACCAAATAATCTAGCAAAGGGTGATTCAGACTGGTCCATAGTAAACAAAACAGTTTCAAGGAAGAAGAAAAAACATCTCTAGCCCAGTTAAGACAAAACAAAAGCCAAACTATTTAGCTGGGGAGATGTGTTGTTCTGGGTAGAAGGCAAAAGATATCAAACCAAAACAGTAATGCGGAAATTATACAGTGGAAAGCTTTTATTGCCAAAGGAGCAATAAGGCAATATGGAAAGCTTTTACTGCCCCAAAGGGAGGGACCATCAGAAAGGCAAGTACTCATTTCAAAAAAGAAAGAAAGATTGACTCATTAAACTTGTGTATTTTCACCTCAACAAGTAGATATACAGTTATTCATTGTATGTTGATGATATATATTGGGGTTGAAACTGATTCTTCTTCATTGTAAGTTCAAAACAGATGTGATTTTAAAAGTATTGGAGGTCTTCATTTTTATTTTTTAACAACTACAGGTGCAAAGGGGCAGGTACTTTGGCAGAACAGAAGGGGTTTCAGCCTTTTCCTACACATGGTAGGCTTGCCAAAATAGTCCTGGCCCTTCCCCATCAGAGCTGCTCTTAGCCTTGGGAGGGAAGCTTCCTTCACTGACAGTGGAAATATCTTTTCCAAGGCTTATGATTTTCAGCAGGGAGGGGATAAAATACATGGTTCTGATCCAGTTCGCACCCACATAGATGATATTGCTAAAGGAATGCTAGGTGTCTTCAAGCACTGAATGATTTCTGTTCATGAACATACCCCTCAACCTGTGGGGTGTGTTGACAGAGTAGGGATAGGTTTATTTTAGATGGGTTTTTTTTACTACAGCATCCATGATTCCTGATCAGTGGCAGTACTGTCTGGACTTATGGGAGTTGTAGTCCAAAACATCTGAAGGGGCACCAAGTTCTCTATCTCTGTGTTAGAGTAATGTTCTTCCCAGTTTCTTTAGGGAGGGAGCTTCACCTCAGGTTTCTGATATAAAGGGTTTCTTAGTCCTGTTTGGTGGAAATTACAAGAATGAATACATTGGTGTTGAAGAGTTCAATGCACGTAAGGGGGAAGCTGTTAACAGTCTGTATTGTAGAGATTAAATTATTTACATAAGCTTGTAGGCAAAGAATGAGGCTTCTTCTCCTTTATAACAGTAGAAAGCTCCTCATCAACATTACCTAGGCCCAAACATGTTCACCCGCGCCCTGCTCCTCTGAGGTCTCGCAGTGTGAGTGACCTGTCTCAGTGTCGGCGGGACATTGCTGGAGTGTACAGGCTGTATGGTATGTCCGAGTGCTGCTACTTACCCAGGCTGCACTTTTGTAAAAAGTAGTGAGCTAAGTTGTTGTGTGTTTTTTTTAAAGTCACCAACCTTTTCACCTTTTTCCATACCTATTCTCACACATTAAAGCACAGAACAAAGGCACTGGGGGGTCAGGTGAAGTTTTCCTTTTGCCTGCTGGTCTTTGTCACACTTTACCAAGAATCACACTGAAAGGTGATATCAAGGCTGCTGAATGGTCTCATAAATTGTAAATGTCATCTATCAGATACTAAAATTCTGCTCGTTGAGAATAGAAGCACATGCACAGATGAACTTACATACGTTGTGTAGTGCTTTGGAAGAATTCAGTTATGCAACTGTTCAGTATTACTGAAAACTACTTCAACAAGAAAAGTTTTTTTAAAAAACTTACATACGTTGTGTAGTGCTTTGGAAGAATTCAGTTATGCAACTGTTCAGTATTACTGAAAACAAGAATTTTTTTTAAAATAACATGACTAACTGCTATGTACCACCTTTTCAGTTTTTGACAGCTTTTTAGCACCCCAAGAATCCAACTGCAAATTAGGACAGAGTTCATTAAAGATACAGAAATTAATACTACCTTAAATAAGCAAAATTTTCCCCTTCTGGTTTTTATCTTAAGTAGAAGATAACTCACCAATGCTTTGTTTCTCTGGTAATGCTTGCACTTTTATTTTGCTCCCCACTCCCAAAATGCCACCTTGTTGCCTGCTATTGCTTCTGCTGATGTTTCGAAACCCAATCCTTATTATCTATGTTTTACAGCATGACCCAAACATTGTTTCCCCCTCCCCTTTATGTTGACTTGATGTAGAAAAACCGCTCTTCACCCGAGATGCCTCACAGCTGAAGGGGACTTTCCTCAGCACAACTCTTAAAAAAAGCAATATGGGTTTTGGATTTACCATCATTGGTGGAGATGAGCCTGATGAATTTCTCCAGGTGAAGAGTGTCATTCCCGATGGGCCTGCAGCACAGGATGGCAAAATGGAAACAGGTAAGTCAGACACTGTTCTTCATCTGAAGGAGTTCAGCCAAAGGTGACTGAGCAACATCAACTGGACAGAAAATATTATAATAAGTATGGTGTGTCATTTCCCAGCAGAACTTGGGGTGGAAAAGCAGATTGCAATTAACAGTGTTTGTAATGTGCTAATTTTTGTATAATAACTTTACTAATATTGTTACTTTTGAAAAGATCCATACTGACTAGTAACTGCTACTTTTTAGCGAAGTGAGAACTGTGTATTAAACACTCGAGAAAACATTATTTTGCATGGGAATCATATTATATATTTTTGAAATTTAGTTATAAAAGCACCATGCCTACCATTGTTAAAACGAAAAGCAAGGAGTCTTTTTTTAAAAAAGCAATGGGTAAGACCAGTGCATTATAGTCTGAAAATAAAACTTTGAGCTCTCAGTTATTGCTTTCTATATAAATGTTTGTGTACGTATATATAAGCTTTGAAACAAAAGTACAGTAGTAGCTAATCAAGTTGTTTTTTAAATTCAGTCTCTTTCATCGCCTGAGCAGCCAAGACAACTGAGAAAGCTATTTTGATCAGGCCAAAGACAAGACACTAGGACTCATAGACTATTTGGGCAGTGGCAACTTTATGTAGCATATGTGTGTATTTACATGTTCAGTAATCTTATCAGACACCCACAGTCCAGCAGGTAACAAGGTCAGTCTATTTCAGGTAGCCTGTGTACACCTTAGCAGTTCCACAGCAAACAGCCACCTTGGGTCCTTTTAAGGTGGCTGTTTGCTACGAAACTGCAGATAAAACAATAAAACAGACACAGGCAATATGCATTGGTGATGAAAAGTGGCTGGGGCTGGGACCAGGGGCTGTGGTTTTTAGACACTTACTACTGCCCCCCACCCCCAACCAGAGACCTCCAAAGACCAACCCTTGATGAAAGAGATCTCTAGGAAGCCTCGGGCCCTGTAGAGGGTTGGGAATTTTAAATTAGTGATAAAAGGCCATGGCTGATGATGTCATCAGCCTTGTGCACATGGAACTGCACCAACAGGATTTCAGCGAGCATATAAGGATTGGTAAAAATAAAGCTTTTCTTAGACTCATATATGGCAGAATTCAAGGCAGTCAGACTAAGGAACACTTGGATTGCATTTATGTTTTACTATATAGATGTGTACATGCACATATTTAGAAAAGTAAAACTTGATTTTTTTTTGTAACACTGATTAAAATCCAGTCACAGCTGGAATACAAACATTAAAATCAGTGGAACTTAAGAGGGATTGACTCAGTAGAACCCTGTTGATTCAGTGGGCCTAATATAATTGCAACCTACTACTAGATTTCAGCCACTATTTCAACCAGTTCGTATCCAGTCCACCCCTTCAATAATAAATAGGAAGCATTGGAATGTGTCAATAAAGTTATACATAACTTGCTAACAGGCAAATAAGTTCATGCAGGTGATTCATTCTACTCCCCACATAGCATGTTGCCAGAATGCATTGGGAATTATGCTAATAGTATGTTTTCACTGGGATGTACTTTCTTGGAGCATGTTTAGAGGGGGCCGTGTTGGAAGCAAGAGGAGGCAACTGTTGGATAGCAAAAGACAGGGCAAAAAGAGTGGGAAAGGTGCAGAGGGAGACGTTCTGATACTGAACTCCGTGGAACTCAGAGTTCAATGTCATATTCTCTATAAATAGACAGTGCTTGCATCAGTGTTCCTCAAAGTCCTTCCTTTCTCACTCTCTCTTGCATGTTAGACATTTCCGCAGAGCCTCACATCAAAAATGTGCACAGAAATTTGAATTCTTATGTTTCTTCAAGGAAGATGCTCTCTAAATACCTGTTTCAGCCTGTATTAATATGACCTTGGAGGGGTAGATGGAACTCACAGACCACATGTGTCTTTAAAAAAAAAACCTCACAGAAATTCTATCACTTTCTTTTAATCTGAGCCCTCTCCAGTGCCAATATAATACCTGTATATTCCCATTTATGTTAAGTAAAATCTCTGGATAAAGTCTTCGCTTGTATTTCCAAGTTATTGAATTCAAATCCCCTTGTGGGTTCAGTTTTATTGCATTTTCTTCAGAGATGCCCACCCCCTTCCCTTCGGCTTTCTGAACCAGGCAGTTCTCTATATTTTCTGCACACTGTTGAAAACCTAAGATAAGCCACAGTTTCAAATAAGATTTCAAATATTGCAGAGCTCAGGACTTTCTTCGTTTGTGATGAAAAATGATGGGATATGAATCAGAAGTGAAATATCATATGAGAGGCATTGGTTTGGGGCCTATCTGGAAGAGTTTAAATTTGCAGAAGACAGAATCTTCAAATAAAAGCTTCAGCACTCCATCAGTATGTGTGCTTCTAGAGGCAAAAAAATTAATTACTTACCTCCTTTTTTTCCAAAAAGTTCCTGTATTTTCTTTGATCTTGACTGTACCATTGCCATTTTTCTTTGTCATTTTTGCCTTTCCCCTCTTCTTCTATATGAAATATTATCTTCGTCCTTGCATGTCCATGCATGATTGTTTGGGTTTTCAGTTCAGTTTGGGTATAGATTTCTCTATGCTACCTTTCTCTTTGATATTTTGTACTATCTCATTCTTTCTTGAATCTACGCACAGATTTTTTTTTCTCTTGCAATTCTTTGGCTTGTTGTATGTACATAGGAGTTTAAGCCCCTCCAGGCAGTTGCAGGGAGCTTGAAAGTAATGTCTTACAAGAAAAATAATCTTGTAATGTTATTTTGGGGGTGATGAGATCATAATGATGTGTCTTTTGCAAAGTGATGTAATGACAGATAACTAGCTTTCCCTGTACAACCTGTAACATTCAAAATTTTTTATTACTTTTGGGCAAGGAATTTTGAGCATGGGTTACCCCCAACCCCACCACCATGGTAACAAAAGGCAATGAGTAACATAAAAAGTAGTGGGAAATAGGGGCTCCTGAACATTTCCCTAGTGGGCCAGTAAAGGTAGTATAACACCAGGGCAAGTGGTCAAACTACCCCGAAACAATTTAGGAAGGCTTTTTAAAAACACACTGGCCAAATTTCAACTGGAGCGGGGGATCCTTCCCTACTAGCACCAACATCCACCAGTCTCCAAAGGTAAGGCAAGTATTGAAACAGACATCTTTAGCCATTTGCATGCGCTCATTTTGCCCTGGCTAACAGGACTGTCCAGATTTTTAGGCAGACTGATGCAGGTACATCAAGTGGCTGATTCTGGGTGTTATCAAAACCCAACAGATTACTAGTTATTTAATGTGTTGTTGTTACTGCTGCTGTATTTGTAATCTCAAAGACAGATGTCACTGGGTGAGATTTTCTGTCTCAGTTGCCAGAATAATGTGACTAACCTTGGTAACTAGGCATCTATTTACTGCTTCCACTCAGGTAGCATAAGTCAGATGTGTGGAAAAGGTATTCTGCTCATCTTTTTGCCTCAGGATATGCAGTGATATAGCTACCACAAGATGTAATCCTGGTTGCCAGTTTGGACAGTTTGAAAATGAAATTAGACAACTTAATGGAGACAAACACTGTCAATGGCTACCAGTCATGATGGCTCTCTGTTTCCTTTGGTATGTCACTGGATATCTGTTGCTGTGGGACATGAACAGGAGGAATGCTACTCTACTCATGTCCTACTGCAGGCATTTTTTGGTTGGCCTCTGTGGGAGCACAATGCAAGACGTAGGCCCTTTGTCTTATTAGGCTCGATACTCTTACTGGCTAGCAGCGACATGCCATGATTTGTAAATGTCCTCACAAAGCTGGTGCCCTTCGGGTATTCTGGAATTCAGTTCCCATCAGCCTCAGCTAAATGGCCACTGGCCAGGAATACTGGGAATTATAGCGTAGAAGATGGAGAGGCTGCTGTGAGCTATGTTCCAGTTTACTCTGTTCGAGGCCTAATTTAGCTCCACACTTATGAAATGGCATCTTATTATAGTTACCCTCTGTACTGTGTAATAAAAGAATGCCTGTAATAATTCATATCTCTTCCTGGAGTAAGATCTGGGGATTTAATAGAGAATTAGTCATAACGGCTACCTCCCCACGCCATGATGTTGCTTCTTATTAAATAACTGACCATATTCTGTTTTTAAAGCTGTGGGAATGGCTCTAAACATGCTGTTATGGATAGTTAACACTTTGTTTCTAATAAATCATGCAACACAGAAAGTAGTCATCTGGTGTTAAGATTTAATAATATAAATTATTCAGCCTTTCTGTCTTGTACTTGCTGAGGGTTCGTGTTTCTCATAATAAATTGACATTGCTTTCTTTGCCTTCCTGCATTCTTATGCAGAATGGAAATACATTCTGGAGAAGGAGGGCATCACATTACTTGATTATACATGATTTAAAAAACCCACCAAGGTTTGTAAATATCAGATTATCTAGACAGGGCAGACAGCACAAAATGTATTTATTTCCCTTATGGTATGAGTCACAGAAGTGTACACATGCCTTCTTTAAAAAAAAAACAGTGATTAATCTAAGGATGGATGGGCTTGTAATTTCCTTGAAGGTTGAGAAGGAGAGATAGAACAACTAAACTGGTTTTCCTGGTGCCTGGAATACTGTGAGTTGAATTGAGACTGTGAGCAAAACATATAGAGCGGGGGGGGGTGTATTTGAAATCCACCATGTCTTTTCCCCATCTTTCATTGTTTATTATTTTAATAGAAGAATAACAAAACAAAAATATTACAAGAGGAAATCCATACAGTCAGGACAGGGCCCATATATATATACCAAAATGATATATCTCAAGAAATGTTCTGTTGGTCTGAGACAGTGGTTCCCAACCTTAGGTCCCCAGATGTTCTGGGACTAAAACTTCCAGAAGCCTTCACCTGCTTCTTGTGGTGGTTGCTTCCCTTTGCCTAATGGCAGAGCCAGTTCTGCTGCTGGATAAGATAGCCAGTGCTTCAGAGCATTAGCTGTGCTTACCAGGATTTCTGGGAGTTGTAGTCTAAGAAC